ATTTTCAGAATGCTCTTAAATCTCGTTAATGGTCACTGGGAAGTTCCAGCCGTAATTGGAAAAGTTTCTTTCCTAAGGGTGGCTTTGTGGTTCTTCAGAAAGGGCTAAGTGATTCTGACTTAGATCAGAGATTTAAATATATAATATACAAGTTAGCTAATGGAGCTCTTCAGAAAAACAGTGCAAACATTTATTATTCTCCTGGAAGACTTTTTACACTGTTTAAGTAAAAATTATGGACTTTCTCTATGAATATTTTGATCTTTTCAATAAGTATTTAAAGATATCTTGTTTACTGTTATTTTGACAGTATTTGTAAAATATTTAATAAACAATTGATATTTTTGAGGTTAAAGCATTTGTGCTGCATGAATAAGAAATTGAGTGTGGGCCTTACTCTCAAGTAATAAAGATAAGCATAAATATGCTGTAATGTAAGGCATGGAACTGCTGAATTGAGAGGAGCCAGTAATGTCAGACTGAGGTCATCCAAAGGCACCCTCACTGAAGAATTTGCACTTAAGCTAGGCTTCACGGCTGATTAGGATTTTGTTAGGTGGAAAAGTCCTGGAAAGACATTAAAGCAAGGGAAAGCACCTTTTACAAAGATATGGAGGCACAGAAACACATGACCTGGTGGCAAATAGAGAGTAGTTTGTAGCTGGAACATTTTAATGTTCAGAAAGAAATTGGATAAAATGAAGCCAAGAAAGTAAAATCATTGAGGAATGCTTTGTGTTTTAGAAGAATGGTGAGAATTAATAAGGTCAATACACTTATGTACAAATGTAGTTTCAGGTTTACTTAAGTATAAATTGGGATAATATTTAACTTAAAAAAAAAACAACTGAAAGCCCATTTCTCTTCTAGTCCTTAGTTGACAGGTATGAGTAACCTCTGATTTGTTCAGATAACTTCAGTTAATATTTGCTTGAAGAGAAACTTCTACAGGGGAAAAAATTTAAAAACTACTCATTGAGTACATCCAGTTCATTTTTCATAAGACCTTGGATCTTGTAGTTAGCCAATGCAGAACCAGGAATAGAAATAGTACTAGATTACCAGGTAACATTCTTTTCAGTGCATTTTAGTTATTGCAACTTGCTTTGCATTTTATGTCATATGCATTTTTTTTTTCCTTTTTTGTCTTTTTTTGTGACCTGTAACGGGATCACAACCCTTGGTGTCGCGCCCGTACTGCGACCAGCAACGGGATCGCAACCCTCGGTGTCATGCCCGCACCGCGCTCAACCAGTGAGCGGTGGACCGGTCTCTATATGGGATCCGAACCCTCGGCGGGAGCGCCGCTGTGCTCCCAAGCGCCGCACTCTACCGAGTACGCCACCGGGCCGGCCCTGCATTTTGTTTATGTTGATAAAATCATTGAAAGTTTAAAGTATAAATTTGTTTTTAAAGGAAAGACTGCTAGAGAACTGATTTTTTTGAACACAAGATAATCTACTATGTTCTCCTGGATTAGCACAGTGAAATCATACTTTATTGCACTCTCAATAATTTGCACTTTATTCACCAACCTACATCTTATTTTTCCTTTAAGAACTGTACCTGCCACTTCTACTTAGCATTGTGCTGGAGGTCATAGCCAGGCAAATTAAGGAAGAAAAATAAGTAAAAAGCAGGTGATGTCAGCAAGAATGCAGAATAAGAAGCCCAGACCTTTCTTTTCCCCACAGAGATACTGATTCAACAACAGTGCACACACCAGTTCCCTTTGTGAGAAATCCAGAAACTATTTAAGAGGCTCCTGCACCCCAGGCAAGCACTAAACCTGCTGTATCTAAGCTGGTAGGAAAATCCATGCCACTAGCTCACCATAGTACCTCCCTGTGGCTCAGTGTGGCATAAGTGGGAGTAAACTTCAAGTTTTTGACTTCTCCCTGGGGCGGGAAAGAGAAAACTAAAACATATGAACAACATTTAGATTTGTCAAGGGTTTGCCTGAGGGGTTGGTTTCTATTATGAATGAATGTAAGCACTGCAGGAAAGGTGTCAGGTAGGGACCAGTGAAAACAAAGGTGACAGTTTGGACTAGCACATACCATAGTTCATCCCCCTGGCTCATGGAGCAAATAGGAGAAAACCCCAATTCCTGGCTACCCTTTGGAGAAGGAAAGAGTCAGAATGTGCATCTAACATTCTGGCTTTTCAGTGGGATTGGTTTCTGTCTTGCCTGTCTTGGAGTGCTGATGGAAGTTGGCATATTCTGGATGTCTGCGAGCCTCTGAGAGCAAAAGAGCTGGATGACTTGCTTCTGCTTCGGTAGACCTGTGGTAGAGAAGGCAGAAACTGATGCAGCTTGGCAGCCTCTTTCTAGGTGTGGGATGCAAGTGGGGAGAGAATAGTGTAGTGTGTATTCAACATTCTAGCTCTCCACAGGCTGCCCAAGGGACTGGTTTCTGTTTCATCTGTCTCATCACAGACAGAACTGGGCATGCTCTAGAACCCTGTGAGCTTCTGAAAACAAAAGAGAGCTGGGAGGCTTGCAGCAGCTCCAGAGGACCTGAAGTACCACAGACAGATACCAGAGGGAGCAAAAGATTATGAGATCTTGAGAAAGGAAGCCAAAAATCCCTTTGAGAATGTACTCACACAAGTCCAGAGAAGATGCAACCACAGAAAAGGTTGACAGGTACCCAAAATCTCTAGTCAGGCTGACTGATGAATATCTTTCCTTGTACAGAGCCAGTCTGTAAAGACTGGAAGAGGTGGCTGTTTTTCCAAATGCTTGAACCCAACATGAAGTTGCAAGGCACACAAAGAAACAGGGAAACATGGCACAATCAAAGGAACAACATATCCAGGAACCAACCCTAAAGGAACGAGAATATGAATTACCTCATTAAGAATTCAAACTGACTGCCATAAAGATGCTTAACAACCTTAGGAAACTGATGTGTGAACAAAATGATATCAACAAAGAGATAAAAAGTATAAAAAAAGAACCAAACAAATTTTGGGAGTGAAAGAATGCAATAACTAAATTGAAAGATGTATTAGTTCAACAGCAGGCTTGATCAAGCCAAAGAAATTAGCAAATGCAAAGATAGGACATTTAAAATTATCCAGTTAGAGGAGCCAAAAGAAAAAGAGTAAAAAAGAGTGAAGACAGCCTAGGGCACTGATGTGACAGCATCAGCAGACCAATATACATAATAGGAGAGGTCTGGTAGGAGAAAAAAGAAAGGGTCAAAGGCTTCTTTGATCAAATAATGGCCCAAACTTTCAAAATCTGGGGAAGGAAATGGACATCTAGATTCAAGAAGCTGAGTGGACTTCAAATAGGAGCAAACCAGAGACATCTGCAAGGCACACTATAAGCAAATTGTCAAAAGCCAGAGACACAAAACAAAGCATTTTATAAGCAGCAGGAGAAGCGCAATATGTCATGCACAAGAGAACTTATACAGGACTGTAAGATTTCTCAGCAGAAAACTTGCAGGCCAAAAAGGAGTGTGATGAATATTCAAAGTGCTGAAAGAAAAACAAAACAAAACTAAAAATCTACCAGCAAAGTACTATATCTAGCAAAACTGTCCTTCAAAAATGAAAGAGAAATAAAGACTTTCTCAGATAAACAAAAGCTGAGTGAGTTCATCACCACTAGATATACCTTGTTGGAGAGGTGGCAATTGCTTAGCGGATGGTGAACAAATTGCTGAGATACTGTGCTGGTGGAACTTACTGGAAATCCTCTGGCATGCTGCACCTGAGAATTTGCTGCAAAGCCACATGAAGGGGTGCTTGGGAAAACTGTTCATGGAGAGATGCCTTGCTGTTGGCATTCTGCTGCAAAGCTACTCCACAAAGTGCTGGGTGAGCTTCGGGGTGCCTGAGAATCTGCTCCCTGTAGCACACAAGTTGCTAGAGAAGCAGGTGCTGCAGGAGCCTGGCTGGAGTAGTACACTGGAACTGGGAAAAGAATAACCTGTTTCTCCTCCAGTGTCCCCCCAGCTACTTTTATTGACAAGGCTTCAAATTATGCCAGCTGGCAAAAAGGCAATATTTAAACGCTCAGCTCCATTTTTGGAGAGTAGGTAATAAGGGATGATTTTGGAGATAGAATGTAATAAATTGATAGCTGTCTCAAAAATCTATGTCAAACCTTATACCAATTTAGGATGTATTCCGTTTCGTTGGGTTGAGTAAAAGGACTAGGTATTCATCTCAGAATAGCTAAACAAAATTTAAAGTATGTATCTGTGTAATATTTTCAGAGAATTTTTGTTTTAAATTATTACAAGAGCAATTAATTCATAGTAACTAAAAAACTTTGAACAATACAGGTGTTTAAAATGAAAAGCAAAAATTTTCCTTTTATTCCTTATCCCATTACCATTTTATTCCTTATGCCATTCATCTCTTGAAAATAAAACTATTGTTAACAGTTTGCATGTATTGTTTTTTCCATATGCGTATATGTGTGTATATTTATATTTTCTAATGATAGAGGTTTTATATATCAGCATTGCATATGATCTGCTTTTAGGTTTTTGTTGTTAGAAGGAAATATTTTCTAATGATAGAGGTTTTATATATCAGCATTGCATATGATCTGCTTTTAGGTTTTTGTTGTTAGAAGGAAATGTATCTGTGCAGTGCACAAGAGCAGTGTACTAAGGGGTAGTCTCTTTATCCTAGCTTAGTTGCCAAGTACTTGCGTAAGCCAGAAGTAAGTAACATAACTGTTCTCTCTGACTTTCTAAACTTGCAAAATGAAGGGACTTTTCCTTGAGGGAAGTTTATTATCTGTGGTGGGTAAAGTTGGGAAGGTAGAAGAAGTTTGGTTAACCCTTCCATATCAGTTAAGAACCTGTGGCATGGCTTAGATGTTCCTTTTTTTTTTTTTAAACGTGTTTTGCCTTGAAATGTTATATTGTGTTAAACAGTTGTACATGTTTGTGTATATGTTGGTGGCTATGCAAACTACTTAAATTTCTATGACATTTGAAAAATACAACTTTCTTTTTTCTTTTCTTTAGAAAAATCCTGCAAAAATGTCTCTCTATCCATCTCTTGAAGACTTGAAGGTAGACAAAGTAATTCAGGTATATTTAAATATCTTTTCTTTTTTTTTTTCCCCCATATACTGTAACATGCATTCTATTTATAGGTGAAGCAAAGCAAGAATAATAAACGGATATATTTGTTCATTTTTACCCTTTATAAACCTGTTTTTTCATTGTAGATTAAAAAGTTACAGAAAAAGTAGCAGTTTTCATTCATTTCACTGTGAACTAATAGTCATGAGATATTATTTCTTTAAAATTTGACTTATAAAAAACTCTTCAAAGGTTGCTTGATTTTCTCACTATAATTTCAATTACATACAGTATATTTAAGTTGATAAATGACACTCCAGTCTTTTAGATATTCATAGTTTTGTGTAAAGTTGGTACAGTTTTCTTTTGGATTTTTAAGTATGACCAGTCTTTTTAACTTCTAAGAAGAGGCATTGAATTATTTAAAAAATTACAGAAACAGTGGAGTATATGCTGCTTTTAGAAGAGTAGTAGCGATAAAAAAAAAAAAAAGCACACGGAAAGTGTAGAGATATCTGTTCTTTTAGAAAAGCAGACATTTCACTTGTTCAAGTTCTTAATAACTGTAAGAGATTACAGTATTTCTGATTTCATTAAGTTAAACATTTTTATAGTCCTTTGTATAAGTATTAGTTTTAAAAACAGACGCATCTGCTTAAGAAGGAAGTGTGGGGTTGAGATCAATTCTTGCTATTTTGTAAATTTTTAGTAATCATTTTAACTGGAGATAATTTGTAGTATATAATGAGCCCATCTGTTTACAGTTGCCTTTCAACTTGATCTTTTATAAACTCAAAATCTCTTCAGCTATTGTTTGTTTATTCTTTTAAATTGACAAGATAAACCAAACTCACTGTTGTACTTTTTTTATTCCTAAAATAATCTTTTTAATATATGATAAATGTGAGGAAGTTTTTTTTGAGTTGTTTAGTATTTGAAAACCTCTTATCTTAAAGATTATTTTACTTGAGGTCCTGACCTCAGCTTACTCTGAAGTGAGATTTACATCTTAATAATTGATTGATGAGCAGGAAAAGTTTATTACAAACAAACTAAAGAAGTCGTAGGCAGCCTGAAGAATACAAGTGTCTTAGGAAAAATATTGGCTTTAGTGGGGTGAAAGGAAAAAGAAACAGCAGTAGTAGTAACATATGTGTGGCTGGAATTACTTTCCTTGTGGCAGTGGATAGGCAAAGTGCTATATGGGGGGAGAACATGAACAATTTTTTTCTATCATAGATCCAGTGTAGATATTAAAATGTGGTTTGTAAAATTTCTGAAATGGATAATAAAGCTGCCAAGGCTTTGATGCCTCAAAGTTTTAAGTGGCCTTTTCAGTCATCTTAAATGTTCAATCATTTCTTTCTTAAGTATTTTGTCAATACTTTTCTCCTGTGGTTTTCATTTCCACAAAGTTCATGTGAATAAGCACTCTTTGTTTTAAAAAAGCTTTTATCTGAAATATTTAGCTTTCCAGAATAACCATTAAGCCATTAATGACATTTAACTGATAAGGATTTGCAGATGGATCTGAAAGAATGACTGATCTATTCTTTGTTTTCATCCTTTCTTTGTTAGCTTTTTATGGAATTGAGCTTAAATTAACCATAGTTGGCTTTGAGTAAAGGCTTTTGATTTTGAAAACAGCAGAAAAAGAAGAGTTGGTATTGACAAATCTTGGACTGAAAAATAAAGAGGGCTGCAATCTACATCAAGCTGACCTCTTTAAGGAGAAACAGATTTCATGGAGATTTGTTTCCGTTAGAGGACCTTTCATGTCAGAGCAGAAAGCTAGCTGCTAGGA